CTATTACAGATTTCAAAGTTGGATAGTTCTCACATCAAGAGAAAGGAATTGATATTTGGTAGACTGTGTAATAACTCATTAAATTCGGGAGCAAAAAAGGCTAAATGTTGCTGGCATGATTTAGACTTGAAAAGATGTGCTTTTAATGGTGAATAGTTAACACCTGCTCTTGGAGCCACAGTTCTCCACTCCAGAGAGAGCTGGTGCAGCGTCCCATGTGTTTGTGTAAATGGGAAAAGGTTTGGAAGATATTGTTTCTGTAGCCGGATGTCTGCAGTCTTTCCAGCTGTAGCTGCTGCTGATAATTGGTAAGTCTTGTGTCATTGTCCTACCTGAGACAAGCCTTTAGAATCCCATCTTCCTTTCTTTCATGAACCCCAAGAATTTCACACACTTTATCTTGACTTAGAGACCAGCCTTTTTCAACAGATACTGACAGGTAAGACATTTGTGTCCCACTATAAGTGGTCTCTGGAGAAAACACTTGGGCTTCCATGGCACATGAAGCTAGGGCAGGATTAAAAGAAAACAATTGAGGATCACTTTCATTACAATTTACACTTGGGTGTATAGGAGGCTGTAGGAAATCAGGCCGAGGTGAAGGAAACTGTCAAGAGGGAGCACAGATGTGGTTATTGCTAAGCAGCGTTTTGTGTCTTGTGCATTCATGTGACCCTAAGCAAGCCCATCACCCAAACTTTGTTAATTCCTCTCTCCAGATCTGGGAGGTATGGCCATAACCCAGAAGGGGGGGGGTCCTCTTTGGCTGAAATGGAGACCTTTTGTTCAACCCTGATATTGGGAGACATGCTCAGTGCCCTTTCCACGCCCGTTTCCTTGCCTCCGTCCCCTTGTCTCCTGCTCCCAGAACAGATGGCGAGAGGCAGCTTGAAGGATCCATCAGCTGCTGCTCTCTCTAGTTGATGACACGGAGCACTGGCTCCCCCGCCATCATCTCTTCCACTGCTGAATCCCACCAGATTTAATTACTGTAATTGAGTCATAAAGAACAATTGTTTGCTGCCAGTGTGCGCTCGAGTGTACTCCTGGCTGGAGGTGGCTAATGCTTCTCAATGCAGCAGGCCACAAGCAAACGCTGGTAATGCAGAAGCTTCCCCCTGACTAATAGGCATCTTTTGTAAATGGAAGGTTTCCTTTTTTATTCTTTAAAAAAATATTATTAGGCTTCAGCAAAAGATAAAATATAAAACCACCACTAACAAAAACATGGATTAGGGAAAAGAGATTAAAAGAAAAAAAAACCCCTTTCAGCTTTCTTCAGGACAGGGAATTCAGGATGAGGGAATTGAAGGGGAACTCATCAAATTTGCAGATAACACCAAACTGGCAGGAGTAGCCACCTCCCCAGAGGCTACCGGATAGGGGAGGACCCTATCAGGACCCCTTTAATGGTATTGCTAGATTAAGAGAGCCAGCTCAGTGTCAACCTCTGCCTGAGATCTCCACCAAGAAACACATCAGAGTTAAAAAGTCCTCTAATGTTATCTTTAATGGGCTGAATCATAGAGGCAAGTTAGAAAGCGAAACGGAAAGGTGGGAAGCGATTAATTAAAAGAATAACTCTCCTCCTCTCTCCTCTGACCGGTCACATTGTCCAACAGAATTCCCAATAATAGTTATGAGAAGCATTCTCTGTTCGCCAAAACAGAACTTTCACTTCTCTAGCTTTCTCACCATGATAAGCCACCTGTGGATTCCACTCTCTCTTCATTTCCCCTGCCCACTCTGTAGGCAAGCTAAAGGCACGCAGTGGTCCCAAAGGATCTTTTACTGAGCGAAAGTGATTGAAGAGAAGTAAGGCAGAATCTGAAGTTCCCCCACAAAGCATTAAGCTGAAAGTCACTTTTTACGAGCCCCACCCCAACACCCCCAGTTCATCAGGAGCCAATCCGCTGGCATGAATATGTTGTGAGAACTTTGAGCCGAAAAAGTGATAACCAGCCATTCTCTGGTGCCTTGTCCTTGCTAGCCCATAGGAGTCAAAGCAGATGGCCCTGAGGGCTCCTCCCCCTCCTCCTATTTCCTATGCAGATACATCAAAGCGAAAGCAGAAACAATTTGGAAACATCCTCAATTCACAATTTGTGCTGCCCCTTCCTTTGGAATGGCAGCATTTCAACAGGGACCTGACAAAATCAAATTGATTAATGCAGAAACAAACTTGTGCAGAATGCTTACATGCCACTTCCATTCACAATACCCTTTAAAAAAAAAATAGTCTCCTTCCTAATGGAAATGCACGTGTAATCTGTTAGCAAAGGGATGGCTGTCATGCCACTCCATGAATTATTCAGTGGCATTTTCTGCTCTGTTATCTGGAGTCCCCTGAGATTTCTCCTCTATTGTCTGCCCTGAAGGGCCATTATGCTCTCTGCAAATTTAATCTTTCAGGCTAGCACAGAGGAAGGAGGAAATGTATGAATAACAATTTTCCTTTAATAACCTTCAACTAACCTTTCAAACAGAGTAATTCCAATCCTATTTTCATGTCAATGGCAGAGTCAAAGCCAGGCAGCTATCTCTTATCTATCCTACTACAACCCTAATTTGAGAGGGGAAGCAGGAAGGGTGCTAAAATGCTTACAGAAAACAATGGAGGGAGTCACATTCTGATGGAGTTATAGGCATTTAGTTGTTAGGTGGGCTGATAGCTATTTTTAGATGATGATTAACCTACTGGCACAATGTTCCATAGACCCCCAGTTTGATGTAGTATTCCAGCATTAGGCTAGAAATCTGCCAACCCTTCAAGGTAGTTCAGATTATGAAATCAAAATCACGAACACTAACACAACTTTCATTATAAGGTTTCAGTAACAGTCCTGCAAGTCTGAATGTGCCCCGTCCTTTTGCTGTTCCAGAGAACTAGGGAGGGCCAGTTCTGTGATGTTTTAGAATAGAACAGAGCTGTTAGCCATAACAATTCTTAGGTATGGGAACCAAGGTCATTGCTGATTACATTTTGTTGGGCTAGAGATCTGGGAGGAGTGCCCGCCTTTAGTAACAATTGGAGAATATTATTTAGGACACCTAATTGGGGTGGGAACTGCAACTCTGCAACCTAAGCAGGGGGAGCAGAATTTAGTCTTGGGTTCACCTATGTACGTGCCATTATTTTGTAGCCAAATAAAAATGTTCTTTGAGGAAGAATTCCTTCCCTTGAAGTTCTTTTAACTGGTCTCATGTATCGGAACCATGACATAAATATTCATTCCTACAATAGAGAAGGCAGACTCTAATAATATAACCAGTTTAAAAATCTACTAAAATAAGAAAATTTATGTAGCACGACCAAACTGAATTACATATTACAGCATTATAATTGATTTTTTAAGAAGAGAGATTAAATGTATTTTATGCCTCGCTAATAAACAGCTAGATTTACTTAATTCCTTGGAGTGCAGCGTTTGTATGATTCATTAAATGCCTCATTTGCTGGGTACATTACACAGTGACTAACACAGCTGGCTTAGAGCAATTAAAAGAGAGAAAACAACCCAAACTTGGGAAATCGCTGTCTAGAGCAGCATAGTTAGAATGGTAGGAAAAAAATATGCTCAGGTTTTGCTCCATTTGATGCAGGCCATTCTGAGATGCTGGATGAGTAAAAGGGTAGTTCAGACGGAAGCCTAATTTTGACAAAGAGTTGCAGAAAAGCTTTGATTGCTACTTGTTGCCTTAATTTTATACAAACACTGTGTGTGTGTTTGTCTGTCTGTGTGTATGTAGAGAGAGAGAGAGAGAGAGAGAGAGATACAAGATGCATATGTTTTAAAAGTACCCCGAATCAAATCAACAGGCCAACAGTAACTAAATGGAAATCAATGCTATGAAAAGCAGAGAGTTGCTAAATATGAGTCTAGAAACAGTGACTAATCATATACACATTGAAATAATAAAAGTAGCAATTTACTAAGCAAGGGAAATAACCATAGTAGCCATCATTAACACAGAGGAAAAAGTGCATTTCACTTAGTATTCCTGTAAAGAAAGCTGCTCTGCTCAAGTCAAGTCAAGGCCCTCCTGGAAGCAGAGTCGTGCAATCTCACACTTTTACTTCTTGTTTCCCATTCCTTTAGCTTTGAAATTCAGATATGTTTATAATCCTGAGAGGCACCCAGAAAAGCTGCTTCGTAAGAACATAGAGTCCAGAGTTGGAAGGCACGATCAAAGTCACTGAGTCCAATTTCTGGCTCATATCAGCAACCCAGATCAAGCTAGATGGCTATCCAGCATCTTCTTGAATGCATCCAACGAAGGGAAGCTTGGAGATTAGCTCCCAACATTAATTTGAAATGTGCCTTCCTATAACTGTCATTCCTGAGAAAGTTAACAGTCCCAGCCTACACAACAGAGCAAATGCTGCAGAGCACCCAGTGCACTCCCTCCGGAGTCCAGAAGCGGAACTGAATTCCAGGTAAAAGCCAAGACATCATACCACAATACTCTCACATCCTCAGACCCTGCCCGGGAGAAGCCCAGGTTACAAGATAGGATCAATTTTATGCTGAATGATAAAAAAGGTGTGCAACTGGATCATCGTGGCCATTCTTCCCCAAAAGGAAACCAGCCACCTGAGCTACACCTTGCAAGAGCAAAAGGAAACCTAACTGCATCTCTCTCCCCGTCTCCCTCTCTCTTGCTGAAATTTCTACACTGCCCATCTCACCTAAATGACTCTGGGCAGTTTATAAACATGTCAAGAGTGAAAATTTGGCAGCTACATGCCTCTTTGTTTTTATCTTATCATTAGAATAAGGGGGGCGGGGAGATGATACTTTGGAATGGGTTAGTTAGAGCAGGGATAGGCAACCTCGGCTCTTTTATGACTTGTGGACTTCAACTCCCAGAATTCCTGAACCAGCATGGCTCCGCTTGGAAACCTCCCTTTCCCCTCAACATGGCTGGCTCAGGAATTCTGGGAGTTGAAGTCCACCAGTCATAAAGAGCCGAGGTTGCCTAGCCCTGAGTTAGAGAAACGAAACCTCTTCCGTTCTGTGGACGTCACAAGCCAAACACGCCCGAAACGGGGCGAGCGGCTCCTTCTGCCCCGCCCCCTCTCCTGATTGGCTCTATTTGAATAACGGGGCGGTGCAACGGATGCCGGGAAGTGGAGGGAGCGTTTGAACCTCTCGGTCGGGAAAGCGCGATGAAGGCGGCGGGGTAAGTCTTCCCCGCTCCTTTCCGAGGCGGCGCCGGCAGAGCCGAGACGTCCCTTCGCTTCTTCGCCCCCCGGATGGGGGCGCCGAGCTGCTCCGGCCTTGGGCCTGGGTCCCGGGGGGAGTAGCGGTGCGAAGGAGCTGGGCCAGGGTGGGCAACAGCCGGCCCTTTTGTGACTCGTGGACTTCAACTCCCAGAATTCCTGAGCCAGCCACGCCGAGGGAAGACCTGAGCATATATTTGTGTCTTGTAAGAAGAATCTGATGAAGCAGGAGGGCTGGCAGTTAGCACTTTCAAGAAGAGGATCTTGCATGCAGTTGTTATGCCTCTTCTTTTAGATGTGGCACGCCCACCCCTTCTTCACACTTTGTTTGTTTGTATTAATAATGTAATACTACTTAAATTAGCTGCTTTTAAAAGCCTCTGTGGCTGCTTTGATCTTGCTCTACGTTGCTGCAATAGAGCATTCCATAAATCATTTCAGTTGATTGTGTAGTGTGCATCTTTGATTTTATTTGCAACTTATCTGACATTTATTAACTTTCAGAAGAACTAAAACTCCGAGGAAACATGCATTTAAAAAAGCGTCTAACAATAGTTTGAAGGATCCCGTTGGGGTAAGTGGCTAATTTACAGCAGAATTAGCTCTTCAATCAGTTCTCGTATATTGTAGGATTTGACTATGAAAGCTGGACTTCTTTATTTTATGAATTCCTTTGTATATGAATTACCGTAAATGCCGGCGTACAAGGCGACCCGGCGTATAAGACAACCCCGTCTTTATAGCCGGGCCGCATTCCTAGAATGTCGTCTTATACGCCGGAAACTTCCAGTATTTCCAGCGTATAAGACGACTCGGCGTATAAGATGACCCCCGTCTTTGGCGCTGATTTCAGCGCTCGCGGAAGTCGCCTTATACGCCGGCATTTACGGTAGCAATAGCATTTAGACTTATATACCGCTTCAGAGTGCTTTATAGCCCTCTCTAAGCAGTTTACAGAGTCAGTCTATTGCCCCCAAACAATTGGTCTTCATTTTGCCAACCTCGGAAGGCTGGAAGGCTGAGTCAACCTTGAGCCGGTCAAGATTGGCAGCCGCAGACTACCGGCCCCTTGACACAACGCAGGTAAGTCCAAGCGCAGGGCTGCAGGGGCCAGCCTGGCACGGGAAGGGCATGCACCACCCCGCCTGGACTTTCTCATACCGGTAGTTGGTCTGCCCCGTGCTCCGATGTTGGTCCAATCGCTGCTGTGCTTCAAAGCTCTGCATCTCCCCCCATGTGCAGGCCATGCGCTGCTGCTTGTATCGAATGTTGTCCCACCCCCGTGCACTCACCACCTGCTGTACATGGGGAAAATAAGACATGCCCTCAAAATAAGACCTAATGGGCCTTTTGGTCCAAAAAATATAAGACCCAGCCTTATTTTGGGGAAAACACAGTACTATGTTTTTCTGATATGAAGAGGCAAAATAAAGACTGACACTTTTTTTTTTTTTTTGAAAGGTTAGAATTTAGCATTTCCTTGATTCTGGGCAAGTGGTTTTTCACCCAGCTTGTTTTAAACCCCAGAAACAGCAGATGTTTTGTCGAGGCAATTTCAAAGCTTGCCAACCTAAAGCGTGCACGAGCTGCAAACCATTAGACTGATCTTCTGATGCTAGTACAGATGGTCCTCAACTTAGGACCAGTTGCTTAGTGACTGTTTAATGTTACAATGTATCCCCCCCAAATGAGACTTATATCTGGTTTTAGAACTCCAAAACTTGGTGGTGGTCCCCCCTCAAATCACATGACCACATTTTGAGACCTTAGCAGCTGGCCCACATTTACAACTGTTTGCAGCACCCTACTGCCACATGACTACAATTTATGAGCTTTTAATTGAAAACCACCATTTGCTTTCTGTTTCCAGCAAAAACTGCCCCATAACAAACAATAGGTTTGTTTAATGCAGGGGTGTCAAACTCGTGACGTCACATGACGTTGCGCAATATATCGGGCCGGTTTTGCCATTGCCGGCAATGGGGTGGACGCGGCTTCAGTATGATGAAACTGGGCCGCGGGCTGGCAGTTTGACACCCCTGATTTAATGGCTGCTATATTTGCATAATGACTATTGGAAAAAAAGTTGTAAAATCAGGTGGTCATGTGGCCCAACTTATGACTGAAATTGTGGGTTCAATTATAAGTTGAGGACTACTTGTAAACACTTTCCATTCTGATATGTGCTCTGTAAACAAGGACAATCTTAAGCCGGTATTTCCAAATAGTTTAATTTTTCTCTGTTCAGGTATATTGCCGGATCCGCCCAGTCGGTGTCCCAAACCAAGAGTGTTGCATAGAAGTGATCAGCAGCACAACGGTCCAGGTTCACTCACCTGATGGGTACCGTATTGCCCGTAATGGAGAATATAAAGAGGTAGTTCGCATTGAAAATGTGCTATTGTTAGCTGTGGGCTTCAGTCTACACTTTTATTGGGATTGCGTCATTTAAGGCGTTTGGGTTTATCATAGTCTGCATGTATAGGATTGCAATTCCTGTTTGAATTTTTGTTAGTAAGCTTGTGGTCATACTGAGGTTCTATTTAGTGATTCTGTTGCTGGAAATACATAATGCATGAAGAAAAACTTGCTTGTGCCAATACTGATTCACCTACCAAATGGCATTCAACATTATTACAGGGAGATAAAAACTTTCAGATTTTTTTTGTACTAGTTACTCTTTTTCAAGAAAATAGAAAGTATCATTGCTAGAGCATTAGATAAATTGACTATTAGGCAGTTGTGCATTCAAAACTTTGATGCAGTATGAAAATCAATGAGAGGACTAGGTGAAACAGCAAATGGGTAAAACTGCTGGTTAATTGCTTCCTAACTGTTAAACTTTTTTTCTAGGTTCAGTATTCATTTAAAGAAGTATTTGGCACAAGCATTTCTCAGAAACATGTATTTGATGTGATTGCTAAACCTCTAGTGGAAGATCTTATCCATGGAAAAAATGGTATGATGTAATTAAGTTATTAAGACTGAATCTCTCTCTAGACTAGCAGTATGAATCTGCCTTCTAACCACTGCAGTATTAATAGTATTAATATAATAATACCATTTTTGCAGACTGATTAACATTTTTTTTAATGTACAGGCCATGTAATAACTTGTCTTACCATGTCTACTTACTGTTCTTCATTTGATCTTTCTTGTAAGCCAGTTTGGTTCCTCCAGTACTCGGTAAACCTTCCTGGTTTCAAAGGTGCTTTTTCAAGAGGCAACTGGACTTTCTTATTTTTCTTTGAAGACTTTTTGCTTCTTATCCAAGAAGCTTCCTCAGCTCTATCCCAAAGTGATACTATTTGGGGAGTAAAATTTAAAATTTTGGATTTGAAGTTAGATTTACTTCAGAAAGCTTTATAGCAATGTAGTCAACTCAAAACAATTTCGTGCAATAAAGGTAGGAAAAATCTGATTTGCAACAGTGGATTGTTTTGTGATGGTCAACAATTAATTTAGCAAATTATTTTTTTCCCTCAAGGGTCAGGAAAAAGGCTTGGGTAATTATCAAACATTTAGAACTGTTATGTTGAATATTCCAAGCCATTTTTCTTTTAAATTTTAATTTAATTAATTAAGTTATGTTAGATTGTTAATGCTCTTGTATGTAACCTTTTCCCTTGCTTAGATGCAATAACTAATTAAAAAACAATATGAACAACTTATTTCCTGCTATACTACTAACTAGTATAGTGGTAGTACATGATGGAAAATTGTCAAAGAAGGATTAATTGAATCATAGTGCTCAGAACTATGAATAAAGTTCTCAGAACACCTATATAGTTTTGAGCTCAGAATTACCTTTTCAAATTTGAAATGTTTTGAGTCAAAGGTTTTATAATATGGAAACAGGATTGAATATGATAGTAAAAGATCGGTAAGACTGAGAAATTAGAAAAAAATCTTGGAAGAAGGCATCGGGGGAAAAACACCTGATCCACTGCATTGCCAAGTCCGTTGACAATTGATGATTTGGACATCTTGGTAACTTGTTATATTTAAAAGTTTCTCATCAGATGGCAAAAAAAAAAATATGGCAAAGTATTTTCATGCAGTATATAACAAAATTAATGGTGTCTCTGTGCTTTCGAATTCTAGGTCTCCTTTTTACGTATGGAGTCACGGGGAGTGGAAAAACGCACACCATGACCGGCTCCCCTGGGGAGGGAGGTCTGCTTCCTCGTTGCTTGGACATGATCTTCAAGAGCATAGGGCCCTTTCAGGCCAAGCGCTACGTGAGTTCAGTCTCCAAGTCTTGGGAATTGGCAGCTTAACACAAATAGGAGGGCCTAAAAGATCAGCCAAGTTGACAGCCATAAGAGATGGATGAAAAGAAGGAGGAGCCTTTGAAAAGAAGGGAAATTGGGAAAGAGAAGGGGGGAAAGCAAGTGGAGATGAAGTACCCTCCTGTTTCCACAGTTTGCTGAAAATAGGTTGTTCTGAAGGAAATATCTGATTGTACTTAATGCTTTTTAAACGTTAAAATTATGGGAGGGAGGGAGGCAGGCCTGCCAGTCTCAGGTAAAATCATCCCCCTTTTTCAACTGAACTCAAGCAATCCTGGCCAGGATCAAAGGCTCAGCTGCTCTCATTACTGTTGCATAACTAGTTAAATAACACTTTCTGGGTATCTCTTGGTAAGGGACCCCTTATTTTTCCCATGACCCTTAATCCCCAGGTTTTCAAACTTGATGATAAGAATGGAGTCGAGGTACAATGCGATGTGGATGCTTTACTTGAACGCCAGAAAAGAGAAGCACTTCCAGTTCCCAAGACACCGGTGGGCAAGTAAGTGGCTCTGGCTGACTGGGATAATTCAGGAATGTGGTGGATGTTTCCTGGAATGGGTAACTGCAGATGACTCTCACTCACCTTGGCAGGCGGCAGATAGACCCTGAAATTGCTGACATGATTAATGTGCAAGATAATTGTAAACTGGAGGATGTTGATGAAGACAGTGTCTACAGCGTGTTTGTGTCTTACATTGAAATCTATAATAACTACATTTATGATCTTTTGGATGAATCCCCTTTTGATCCCACAAAACCAAAGTAAGTAGTTTTTCTTCAATTGGGAGCTATGCTAACAATCCCGCTGTAGTAAATGCAAATAAAATTGTAGTCTAGTGATTTAGATTCAAGGAAAGATAATATATATAAATAGCAGATTATAGATTCAGCGGTTGATCTACATCCAACCGCTTGGGGAAAATAGGTTCTGTCTGGTTCTAAGCCTGCCTAACAAGACAGTAGCAGCATCATGCTGTTTTGAGTGCTAAATTCAGAGAGACGTAGCTTTCCCATGTTCATAGCCTTTGAAAATATGTTTTAGAAATCCTCTTTATCGAAACATTGCTAAGTATGACTCGCTTTTAAGGCTGGTGTTTTTCCTGCTGATACTCTTTGGTTTAGCCTGGGTATAACTATTAATTGCTGCCAAAATTTGGACAATTCTTTAACAGGGGCACAGGAATATTTTTCAAGTAGCTGCCACAATTGAGTGATTCTTAGAGAAATGCTCTTCAGCAGAGTATTTAGTAATGGGGGGAATTATTTTCTTTGGTTGGTGGAACAACTGTGGCCCTCCCTTGCGGAAAGCTGACTTCACATATGTGGACATTACCCTCCATACTTTTGTAGTAATTGACGGTTACTTTCTACCTGGTGAAGCTACTAATGTGACTGTTGCTCTTTATTGCTAGTAGTTTGCATGGGCAAGAGAATATGCTTGCAGCCCCGTGTGTAATCTGGATGATCTGTGTTTCCCTCTGTCCGCTTTGCTTGTGTGGATAAGCTAACATTAGCTGTCAATTAGTCTCAGCAGAAACTAGAATGCATTTATCTAATTCAACATTGTTTTAAGTAACTGTCAAATATTGATAACTGACATCATTTGAACATCCCTGTTGCAGGTTTCCTCAATCCAAAATTCTCCGTGAGGATCAAAATCACAACATGTATGTTGCAGGTTGCACTGAGGTAGAAGTTAAATCTACAGAAGAAGCCTTTGAAGTGTTTTGGAGAGGTAAGAAATGGAATTATTTCCTGAAAATGTCACTTTAAGTACTCCATGTTAAATCATTTGGCTTGAAGACAGTGAATTACTGAGTAAAAGAGCCATGAGGGATGAAAGGAGACATCTTTTGTTTATGTTGTTCCTCTATTGGCCAGCCAGACAATCAGCTTTCCCCTGAAAAAACCCCAAAGGACTTGGGCACTGTATGAAACCCCCCTGCCTCAGAGCCATGAACTAAAAATCATGCTGAACCGTGTCCCACTGATCTGCTTTTTTCTTTTTTTAAGCCTTATGGTGCAAGTGATTATAATGATAAAATGACTCATCTATAAGGTGCAGCATTTCTCTTCTGTCCGTATTTGCAGATGAGCGTCAGTGGTAAATTACAGCAGTTGCATTTGATAAGTTAGCCTATCTCAGGTATCTTAGTTTAATAATTATAATATTGCACACTGTTTTGCCCAATTAAAGGTTACAACAGGCATGAGTTTTAATACTGGAAGGATGAATGGATGGATGGATGGATTGCATTGTATGGCCACTTATCTCGCCTACACTCACAACAAACAGCAATCCAATAAAAAAAGTTAAAGATACATGGATAAAAATCAATAACCTCTTGAAAACAAAAATAACCATGGTCATCAGCAAAGTCCATCCTTGCATCAAGCTGATCAAAGCCATTGTAAAAGCTCCCCACCATTGTCAACCCGCCAAGCACAGTGGTATAGCCATGTTGCTAGGGCCTTCCCGAAGGTTAGCAGGTTGGGGGCAACCTAAGTTGTGGGGAGGGGAAGATATTACAAAGATCATGAAAACAGCCTACATGGTTTTGCCTTTTCTGATAGGGAAGGTGCTCCAATCTTCTGTTGTTTGGGTTGTTTTTCCCTTCATTCATTCCAGGTCCACAATATCCTTTGAGAGATGATAGCTAAAATTCTGCCCTGACTGCGTTATGATGATTTTGGACTCTACTTGATCTAAATATTTTTTTCCTTTCAACAGGCCAAAAGAAGAGGCGCATTGCACACACTCAACTGAATCGGGAGTCGAGTCGTTCGCACAGTGTATTTCTAATTAAACTGGCTCAGGCTCCTCTCAGTGCAGATGGAGATAATGTTCTGCAGGTAAAATTAAGATTGGCTAGCAAACGGATTTCTTTCTTTTGTCAAGAGGACAACTTTTCAAAAAGTGATAATTGTTAGACCAGTAGCACAAGTCATGATAAAGTGTTGCTGAGACTCCTGGCTCCATTCTCAGCTTTATATATGTATATGTAGTTTTGCTTCCTGATTGAAAACCATAATATTTCTTCTCTTGCAGGAGAGAGAGTTAATATCCTTGAGCCAGTTATCACTGGTTGATCTAGCAGGGAGTGAGAGAACAAACAGAACCAAAGCTGAAGGAAACAGGCTCCGTGAAGCTGGTGGGTGCTTTGATACCAATGAATGGGTGGGTGTGTCTTCTTCCAGTCAAGGAGACTCTGGAAAGAGTGCAGAGAAGAGCAACAAAGATGATTAGGGGACTGGAGCTAAAACAAGGAACGGTTGCTTGAATTGGGTTATGTCTAGTTTAATGAAGAGAAGGACTGGGGGGGGGGGAATATGATAGCAGTGTTCCAACATCTCGGGTTTCCACAAAGAAGAGGGAGTCAAGCTATTCTCCAAAGCACTTGAAGGTAAGACAAGAAGCAATGGATGGAAATTAATCAAGGAGAGAAACAACCTAGAACTAAGGAGAAATTTCCTGACAGAACAATTAACCAGTGGAAGAACCTGCCTCCAGAAGCTGAGAATGCTCCAACACTGGAAGTTTTAAAGAAGAGATTGGACAACCATTTGTCTGAAATGGTACAGGGTTTCCTGCCTGAGCAGGGAATTGGACCAGATGACCTCCAAAGTCCCTTCCCAAATCTGTTATTCTATTCTGTTCTATTCCATTCCATTCCATTCCATTCTATTCTATTATTATTATGGATTCAAATGGAACAGTCCTTTCAAGTAAGCACGATATACTCTTTTAAACTGTCTTTCCCAGCAGAAAGAATCAGGGCTGACTGACATGTGAGGGAAGCCACAAAATGATCACAGAGGCCAAGGGCCCCTGAGAAATATGGAAGTTTTTTAATGTTCTTCTCTAGCCAGAAGATTTTTCTGGCTCTTGGTTCTCTGTATGTTTTTTCCATATTATACTTATTGGAAATGATAGATTAAAGTTTGGAGGAAAATTAATATGGAATTCCTTTAGTTTTGAAAAACTATCCAGATGGAGAATGTTATTTTCAATTTAATCCCAAAGAATTTGAAACATTCTCAGTCCCGGCTGTTACTAGGCAGAAATAAGATAGCATCTTTACCTATTTACATTTCAAGCCACCTTTTTAAAAAGATGGGTATGCATTGGGAAGATTGTTAGGGTTATTTGGGTGGAGTTTTCCTTATGAAATATAATTCCTTTTTAGTGATGTTTAACTTGTGGATTTTCCTCTGAGTTAGAAAATAATAAGTTTTCTGGGCAATTGTATGGAAGTGGTTTGGCACAGTCTTCTAGTTTTTTTTATACTTTCTAGTTTAGTCGAGAGTCTTGGGATTTCCTCATAGCCCAATGCTAAATCTGCCAAGATTGGCCTGGTGTAGCACCTGTTGTGAATCTTCCCCTTATACTTTCCATAATTTAGCTAAGGCTTTTGACCACTGTCCAAAGTTTAGCTAAAATGGTCCTTATATTGGAACAGGAAGTTTCTCTTTCCCTGTCCTTTGCCAACCAAGGAGATTGAAAGTGCAAAGTGGCTGTTTCCTTTTCATAGGAGAGGTAATCCCATGTCCTTTCAAAAACAGGGAATTAAATTCTTACAAAGTTAAATTGTTCCATGACTAGGCATCATATCAGATGGTTGTGAGACTAGTGCCATTCCCTCTTCCAGGTAATATCAATCAATCACTGATGACATTAAGAACCTGTATAGAAGCTCTGCGAGAGAACCAAACCTATGGGACCAATAAGGTGTGTAGTTACCTATTTCTGTAGAGTTTTTCCTCCTTTCCTCACTTTCTCAGTTCCTCAACTCTGAGAATGTTTTGTTCTGCTTGATTCTTCAGATGGTCCCTTACCGAGACTCCAAACTGACTCATCTTTTTAAGAATTATTTTGATGGTGAGGGTAAAGTACGTATGATTGTCTGCGTGAATCCAAAGGCAGAAGACTACGATGAGAGTTTGGTAATTTAAGTTGGTTGTTTAACGTCCGTTGCTTGAATTTACAAAGACTGGTAGCACGCTCTATATATACCTTGCTACTGAGTTAGCCATCCTTTATAGAAACTTTTTAAAATGCTGGAGTATTCTTCCAAGTCACATTTCAGAATAGGTGTGCTGTTTATCAAGTTTATATGGTTGGTCGTCTCACTCTCGGTGGCAGACAATAAAATCAAAAATTAAAACATTCAGTTAAAATCAGTTAAACATTAAACATGGATAAAAAAATAAAGCAAAATCGTGAGGAGAGATATTATATATAACACAGTGGTACCTTGGTACTTGGCTGCTTCAAAACCTGTTGAATTTGGTTCTCTATGTATTTTGATGTGAAAATGTCCTAGTACTTGACCTTTGTTTAGTACTCAACATGCTGCTATAGGAAGAGGGGGACAGCTGTGAGGAATGGACAGGAAGTCAGCCATGCTAGGAAGGTTGCTGACATAGGAAAAGGGACAGACAGACAGTTGTTTCCAGCTGAAACAAAGGCTTCGGGATTCGTCCTTTTTACTACCCGTTGTATCTCTCAAACGAAATAACGCTGAGTCCCAAGGTACTACTGTATAGGCAGCACATGCTCCCTCTCTGCAGGGGATCCCCAGGCTTGTGGAAATTGCAGGCTTTGAGAAACATTTACAAGAAAACAAACAAGCTCAGAGAAGACCAAGCAATCCACTGTTCAAGTCTGAGCTACAAATATACTCTTTCATTCTTCTAATATGCTTTTTTAAAAAATCTTGATAGCAAGTCATGAGATTTGCAGAAATCACCCAAGAAGTGGAGGTTGCGCGACCTGCTGACAAACCTCTATGTGGACTAACTCCTGGTCGGCGATTTAAGAACCAGGCTTTCACGGAGGAGCTCTCTCGACAGCTAGAAATCCGAGGTGGACCAGTTGATGGAGGTAAATCTTTAGGTTGGTTAGCCCACCTGAGACTAATAACAAATGAAATTCCTCCCCCCAGGAATTGCCTTATGCGGTTCTTCTGCCTTTACTCACCATGCAGACTCTGATCTTTGTGGATTGCCACTCAACTAAGTGGCCTGTTTTGTTTGTCTAGACAGAGGCCCCTGGGTCAGGGAATTGCTCCTGCAGAGCTTCCCTCCAGTGCCTTCTTGTGAACTTCTGGACATCAACGATGACCAGACCCTGCCTCGACTGATTGAAGTACTTGAAAAGCGGCACCACATTCGGCAGAAGCTTTCAGAAGAGTTTGCCAAAAATGGTAAGTGCTTGGCACCGGCTTGTCTTGTCCTGGGTATAAGTGAATAAATTGTGATGTTCTTCATGGAAGGCAAAGAACTGAGCGATTGCTTACTGAAATCAGCAAATGCACAGTATACGTCTGAAAAATAATCAGAAGAGGTGGTAAGTCTTCCATAAAACAGACTTCCATAAAAAGCTCTTAGAATTTGTGTTTGTCCAAGATCCTGTACCGGGAATTTCCATGTTGTAATTGCTGTAAATTTGGGGACCTTTGCACACCTTAGGTTGTGCATCGTTATGCCCATTCTTGGATTGGACACTTTGCTCTACAGTCACTGATGCCCTCATGACCTTTCATCTGGATTACTGCAATGCACTCTACATGGGGCTGCCCTTGAAGAGCATTTGGATGCTTCAACTAATGGAGAATGCAGCTGTATTCCGTCAACCAAGGCACTAGGATGTGTGCCTTCTCTGCTGTAGGACTCATTTCATGGTTATAGTAACATGGCAATAGTTTTACTCAGTGACAATATATATTTATTTTATATTGTTTTAATGTTTCTCTGAATAAACAGAATCACTTGTTTAGATAGACAGCTATAGAAATCAAGCATCTTTTTCTGTTCTAGTCCTGTGTGTAAAGAACATGTTGCAAGAACTTGATGCCAGCATTGTATCCAAAGAAAACCTTGCACAAGTGAAAGTAGCTGAAAGAGACAAAATCATAACAGGACAGAAAACGGAGATTGAGCGACTAGAGAAGAAAGCAAAAACTCTGGAATATAAGGTTTCTGTTTACTGTTTGATGATTAAGTATAGCACTCATTTGTAAATATCTCTGCTCAAAAGGAAAATCTTGAATTTCTGACGTGCTTCTCCATTTGCTGATGTATTTTAAGATAGCAAACTTCTTGACATGAGGCAGACCTGAGGGGTTAGCAAGCTTTTAAGATAGTGGGCAACATCAGGCAGTTCAAATTTTGAACACTAAAAGGGCTACCCCAATTTACCCAACAGATTTCAAAGCATAATTTTTGCAAACTACTTCTGTCTTGTGGTGGTTGCTTATCACTTTTATGGGTATCATTTGCAACGCGGGATCTTGCTTTGCCCCAAAACAGAAAAGTCATGCTAAATTTTGTGGAGGCGAGTTTTCAGAATAGGAATTGCATTGTAATCTCTCATACCAGATTGATATCCTGGAGAAAACAACAGCAATTTATGAAGAAGAGAAGCGCAATCTGCAGCAGGAACTAGAAAGCAAGAGTCAAAAGCTTCAGCGTCAAGTTTCAGACAAGCGTAGACTGGAAGCTCGTTTGCAGGGCATGGTGACAGAGACGACAATGAAATGGGAAAAGGAATGTGTGAGTATAACTGGTTTACTGATCCACGGGGCTGGGAAGAAGCTCAGCGGTTTCCTTTTCACAATAAGAGACGTAGCTGGAAGGGTTTAATGCTATCTCTGGAAAGTCTGGCTAACTTTCCTTGACTGCTGGAATGCTGCTTTGGGCTGTTTGTTAAGCGTTTCTGGGACTGTATCCTATGTTCATTCTTGCATAAGATGCAAGTTGATCTTTCAGACTCCATTACAGAAGGCTGAGGCTTTGTGTGGGCATCTCCTATTTCTTTCTTGGTGATACTTTTCTCTACCAGAAGAGTACTTTATTGCTATAATTTATTCATGCAAGATTTAAGTAAACAATTGGCAGCAATAATTTTTAAAAATTAAAAAAGACTACTAGAAACATACAATAAATGTTGTAACTGCAGTAAATCTTCAGAATAACATAGTTGGAAAGGATCTTGAGGTCTTCTTGTCCAACCCCCTGCTCAAGCAGGAGACTCTATACCATTCCAGACATGGCTGTCAAATCTCTTCTTAAAAGACTGCAGTGATGGAGAACCCACAACTTCTGAAGGCGCAAACCGTTCCACTGGTTAATTGTTCTCACTGTTAGGAAGTTTCTCCTTAATTCCAGGTTGCTTCTCTCCTTGATAAGTTTCCATCCATTATTTCTTGTCTTGCCTTCTAGTACTTTGGAAAATAGGTTGGCCCCTCTTCTTTGTGGCAGTATTGGAACACTGCTATCATGTCACCCCGTCGTTCTTTTCACTAGACTAGACATACCCAATTCCTGCAATCGTTCTTCATGTCTTTTAGTCTCCAGGTCCCTAACCGTCTTTGCTGCTCTTTTCTGCACTCTTTCCAGAGCCTCTACATCTTTTTTATAATATGGTGAGGAAAACTCAATGCAGTATTCTAAGTGTTTTCCTGCAGTTTGCTATAGTAACGTAGTTGATAATTTTTCAAAATGTAATATTTCAGCAGGCATCTGTTTCACTTTAGAGACATGTCCTTGCAATCAAAACTCATCAGCCAATTAATTTTGCGTTAGTTAGCATACAGAGTGTAATTGTAGCCTTTCTTTACCATGCAGGAGCGGCGTGTGGCAGCCAAGCAACTGGAGATGCAGAACAAGCTTTGGGTGAAAGATGAGAAGCTAAAGCAGCTAAAAGCCATCGTCACAGAACCTAAGAGTAACAAACCCGAAAGGCCTTCACGGGAAAAGGATCGGGAGAAAGCTCTGCAAAGATCCTTGTCACCTCCTCCAGTACCTGTAAGCTTCTTTTGGGATTGAAGGTGCCCTTGTCTCTGCATACGTTCGCCTCTGTGGCAAGTGACTCTGAGAAGTCAAAGTACTGTGGCTGGGAGTGTATAGCTCAGCCAGGAGAATTCTCTGTGAGCCATCTCCTTGAATTAGCTTCGACTCTTTCTGTTTGTGCATGCTTTCTCTTTCTAACTCTGCTTAGTATAGAGCAAAAGGACATGGGGCTGAATTCTAGGAAGGTTTTTGGTAGTGTTCTTTTTGCCTTATTCGCTAACTGCACCTTTCTTCAGTTTTCTAGTAACTGTATCACTCACCTGCCTAACAACCATGATCCACCTGCCAGAAGCCAGCCACAGCTGCATAGGCGTTCAAATTCTTGTAGCAGCATTTCCGTGGCTTCCTGCATCTCGGAGTGGGAGCAGAGAACACCTACTCAGCACAGCAAGCCTCCTGGCAAGGGGGACAGTGGCCTCCCTAGAGCCAGGAGTAGACTACAGGAGCCAGAACAAGCCAGGCCCTGGGTTATGTCAGACAGAAGGCGAGGCATGTGCTGGACAGGAGTCCTGACAGCTTCCAGCACTAGAGGGCCCCTAGAGCTAGAAGAGGACTTGTGCTGCAGGGTTAGTGTTATGTCTCCGCTGCGGTTGCCCCTGTGTGAGTGGCTGGTGATTGTGGGCACTGCCATTGCTAAGAAACACACCTCACCATCATGGGAGCTGCAGACGCAAAGCAAGAGAACAGCTGTCATTGGTAGAGCTATAGATTCCCACTTCCTTTTAAAAAACAAGGGTTAATCTGAACTAGCCTCTTGCTGCCCAGGCCAGCTTTGTGCTCTCCATCAACCCTGAACGGTGGTCCTGTGAGGTCCTGTCCCGTTCTTGCCATTAATGCTTTCACATTATTTGATAATGTGTTTGTGTTTACATATTTGTTTACACGACAAGTCTTTAATTTTTGGTAACTAGTTTGAATTAAACTAAGTAGAAATTAGCTTTTCACATAAATCTCAAATTACAAAAAAATGCTTACTTTGGAACTTCAAAGAAATTCTGATGTCTTGCAGTGATGCCCTTAATAACAAATGCTGCAAGTCTTTATAAAAATAGTAAAAGCTGTTTAGGCCTGAAAGAGTTTACTACTCTGCAGCTTGGGAACTGCTCGCTGTTCCCTGCCTTTTTCTATGTTCATAATAGTCGTATGTAGAAAGTGCACTATTTTGCATTTTGTGTGTGTGTGCAGGCTGATCTTTGAATGGTTTCTAGGCTGCCCCCTGCTATTCTACATTTCTGGGAGTTGCAGAGGGCATAAAAGCAGAACCTTTGGGTCTGGCCTCAAAACGTGACATTGTTTTCTGTGCTGGTGCTTCTGACATCTTTGATTTTGCATGCTGAAGCCTGGAAGGATCTTAAACTTCTGACCCAAATTTATTGGTGGAGGGCTTCAGTTAATCTGCAGGTATCAGCGTGTGCTTGGTTTTCCTCTTCTTATATTACAAATAATTATATTGGAAGAGTATATAGGATCTCAACAGCAAATGCTGCAAATTAAATATCTGCTCAACTATTGGTTAAACCCTGGAAGATGCACTTCCCAGAGATAAGCTTAGGAAACTTGCCTACTAATTTTTATAAAATTCTTTTTCTGATCTCCCAGAATGCTCCTCCTGTTCGCCTTCGTCACAGGCGGTCTCGCTCAGCAGGGGAGAGGTGGGTGGACCACAAACCTCCTTCCAATATCCAGACTGAAACAGTCATGCAGCCACACGTCCCCCACGCCATCATGGTAACCTCTGCAAACGAGAAAGCACTGGCAAAGTGTGACAAATACATGCTGACACACCAGGAGCTGGCCTCTGATGGGGAGATCGAGACAAGGCTGATCAAGGTAAACTCTCGTGTAGAGGGCTCTCCTGGGTGGGAGCGTTCTGTGTGGTGCACCATGCTTCTAAAGAAATCCTCCAAGAAAATGAGCTTGTTGGCCACAGAGTACAGGGAGTCCTCAAGTTACAAACGTAGTGGAGCCTGCCCATTCCATTCGTAACTTGAGGATTCGTAGGCGTGAATGGCGTATCTTGAACACCATCGCTCTCTACTTTCGCTCACGCATTTGCTAAGGAAACATTTGTACCTAGGGGATGTTTCTTTATTCTGCTACCTAATTCTCCACACTGCAACCAGGGAAGCTTTTCTACAATTTCTGGGGCTGTTGGAAGTGTTAAACTGGAGCAAGACTGTCAGATTGTATAATTTGTTACTCAGGGCTGTAGGCAAATAGTGGTGGAAACCCAGTGGGGCTTTTGACTGCTGTGGGCTCTATTCCTGTAAAATGGGTGTAATTTAGTTGGTTTGTACTTCTGGAAGATCAGAAAAATAAAACCTTTCTAGCTTTACTTAAGTGTGTGTAAGAATGTAGCGAAAAATAGCTTGTTACTTTATCAATTGTGCCAATAAAAATTCTCTGTTCAGAGATTTTCTTAAACAGATTTTGTTTTCAAAAGGGTGATGTTTTCAAGACAAGGGGAGGTGGACAGGCTGTTCAGTTCACTGAAATAGAGACCTTGAAACAAGAATCACCAACAGGGTGAGTCACATTCAACCCAAACGGTTTTACCTTTTCATGTCTCACTTCAGTGTGAATGGAAACTGATGTGATTCCTGGGTGTTAGTGGAGATCGTGACCAGGCCGTGATTTTTTTGTGCATGACTGATTAATCGAGGTTCATGCAGAGAAGTCCTGTGGGTATATTCTGCTCCTGGATAAAATTGTAAAAATGCAGAGTAAGCAAATGGAATTACAAATTGGAAATATCCCCAGGTTAATATAAAATAAGAGCAGACTTGATTGATGCCAGTCTGTGTCTGGGCACTTTCAGGCAGGAGACGGGCCTCAGAATTTTCAATCCTGCCTCTGAACTGTTTCAAACCTTAATGACTTTTTCCTTTTCTGATTCTTCCAGACGCAAGCGGCGATCCTCTCCGTCAAGCCCTCGCCTCCCCGAGGAGGCTTCCGAGTCAGAATGGACTGATGTGGAAACCCGGGTAAGTCAGGAGTATCTTTGGCAGAGGATGGGTTGGATGATCTCGAGTCACCTCTTGACAGCTTTGCCTGCCTTTTTTTGGCCAGTGTTCAGTCGCAGTGGAGATGAAGGCAGGTTCCCACCTTGGACCTGGCTATCAACATCACGCTCAGCCCAAGTAAGTTCTCCGTGTTCCTCCCATCCTGCAGACTTTCTTCGATGCTCCCGAGAGAGACTGGGTGCGACTGTACGAGCTTTGGGGGAGGGGGGGGAGAGCCGGGTAAAGAGCTAGGGTTTAGGACTGAAAATAGACTTCACTATTGAGGTTTGGCCTCTTGCAGATAAGTGCTGGCTTTGCTGTGGAAGTGATCTGTTCAGCTCAGGGAAGAACACTGACAGTTGTGCGAGACATTTTAACAGGCAGGAAACAGGGCATCCGAGGTAAAAAGAGGTCAATGCGAGTTCTTTAAAATAAAAGGCAACCATTAACATCCAGGCAAACCTGCACAGCCTACTGGTTTTCTAGCTACAAGGAGGGCTGGATTGCACAACCTGCTTGTCCTCCATGCAATCTCCCCGGTGGCTCCTGAGTTTCTGCTGCTCCCACTCCTTTAGCTTTATTATTCAGCTGTTTAGGCTCTTAAGTCATTCTGGGATGCCAACTCCCCTTGGCCCATTATTCCATTTGTTTCCCCCCCCCTCCCAGCCAAGCTATGGCCCTGGGACAACGTTCAGAAAACCTAGGGTGGTGGTAGAGGGAAGTGTTGGAAGAGCTTGCCTCCTCTGGGGGAAGAGAGTCACATGCACCAGGGGGTCGCTCCGAGAATTGAAAAATGTCTCAGGATCCTTGCTGGGAAGGTTCTAAGTAAATGTTTCAATCCACTTTTAAGCTGCCTGTTTGTTCGTATTGAACTGTAGACTTTTTGATCATGATTGGGGATAACAGTCTTGTCCTTTCTTTGCAGACGCAGGAAACCATGAAGCTTTGAGATGTCTGCTGGGGCTACTTTTCCAAATAAATTTTCAGGCTACATAGCTGGCTATGCTAGAAAGTGACAAAAGGGAAAATAAATAAAAAAGTGCTTCTCTTGACCTGCATCTACATCATGACTTTGAGGAAGATGACCTCATTTTATTATTTTATGCATTTCTCTATCTCTTTGTAAGGTTTTTGCCTCATTTTTCTTCCCGTGCTTCAACACTTGTTTCCATGTCTATCTTTAGGGGACAATGTATTAGACTGTTACTATTTATTTGTCATCATGCACTTTAGTATCTCTGGGTAGCATTTTGAAAGTTGCTTTTAGAAGCGGCTGTCTTTTGGGTTTCCTTTAAAACTATGGTGCTTTCCTCAGGAATGTTGTATACAGGAGACAGCTCCACAATTGACAGTTTTGTTTTCTGCCATATAATTGAATTAATAGGAAAGGTTCTTTGCTATACAGAATTTCAGTGTATCATGATGATTAGACAACTTTGTAGTGGCAGACCCACAGCTGTTGTGATTTCGTCAATTGAATTTGCAAATAAAAAAATCATTCATAGCTTCCTACACTCAGTGCCCTTTCTGATCTGCCCTGGCCATATTGAGAGGAAGGATCATTTATTCAGAGAGTTGCAAAACGGAAGGGTTCCTGTTCCCTTAATCACATTCTGTGTAAACACATTTTGAAGGCCAAAACATTCACGAGGTTATGCAATAATTTTTTTTTTTAAATTCAGGTAGCATGCGCTAACCACACCACTGAAAGAAATGTTAACATTGCTGTTGCCATTGCCACGAAGGAGACCTTTGGAACCCATCTCCACTTTGTATGCAGTCTCCTCTTGTTCCTGACACAGATACCCAGGCTCTCTGCCACCCAGGGCTTGATGGGGAATCGCGGGCATCTCCTCTCCTAGGTGAGACCATCAATCAGAAACTGACAGTGTAGGACAGCTGCATGTTTCCCTTCTCTCTCATTGGCCAAATTTTGGAAATGCAATTCATTCAGCTACAACATGGAGTCTTTTCACTCATCTCCCATGAAATGGAAAGAGGGAAGGGCAGCCCTCAATCGTACTGCTGTTGAGGGATCGTATCAAATCAAATGGTGTTACACTCCCCTAGTATGCATCTGAATACGGCTTCTTTGAAAACCGAGTTCTGCCCTGTCTTCTGTTAGTACGTTCTCAAGGAAAGATTGGGGCAGGGGCTTCTCCCCAGCCTCCATGGAGCTCTTGGGCAAGTTACTCTCTTAAGCTACAATAAAGAAACATGGAGGAAGCAGGCCAGATGAAGTGGCAGAAGGCAATTGGGGGGTCCTTGGTGCTCTCTGACGACTTGTTTTCTTGCAGATGATTCATTACCCAAACTGGGTAACATCATCAATGTTAGTAAAGAGGGGGGTTTGCTCTCAGTTGATGTTCTAGTGCAGGGGTGTCAAACCTGCCGGCCCGTGGGCCAGAAGTGTCATGCCGAAACTGCATCCACCCCATTGCTGGCAATGGAAAAAAGGTCGCAATATGTCACAACACATCACGTGAGTTTCACACCCGTTCTAGTGGCTGGCCCTATCAGTATTGGTGGGGGTGGTCTTGGAGGTTCTTAAGTTGAGCTATTTGCTATTGCCTTGTTTGGCAGTTCCTTGGGTAGGGTACTGTTCACTTGATTGTTGAAGAAATTTCCCAACAATGAGATCAATCAGTGGAATGGCTTGCCTCCAGAAGTTTGAAGGCTCTACCACTGGAGGCTTTCAAAAGGAGACTAGACAACTTTTATGACTCGTGGACTTCAACTCCCAGAATTCCTGAGCCAGCCATGGGAGTTGAAGTCCACGAGTCATAAAAGAGCCAAGGTTACCTACCCCTGGTGTAGGGTCTCCTGCTCAAGCAGGAGGTTGGACTAGAAAACCCCCAAGATCCCTTCCAACTTTGTTATTCTGTATACTTCTGTATTTGTGATTAACCACAGTCTCCCAACAAAGTTTTTTTTAAAAAATCATCCCTTTCTAAACTGGACTTTCAGGATCCACCATACCCGAACAGTCCTGAAGAGCTGTCTTCCCAGGACTGCCAGGTCTTGCTCAAGGTGTATCCATTCCACATTGGGGGAAGGCTTTGCCCCGTGCCTGGAAACACGAACTGCATGACTCCACTGGTCTTTATTGAAGCTCTCGCTAAAGAGAGTTGGAAATAAGACACTTGAGGCTTGGGGATGACAGAGTTTATTTGGGCCCTTTCCCTCCAAGAGTGCAGGGCCAACCATGGGCTCTTCTGTCTGCTAAAGGGACGAGTGACAGCACTGCTTCATTTGGGGAAAAACCAGCAAACTAGAAAAATATACAGTGTTTGTCAATTGCTTCAATCTACACTGTTTAAAAAGTCCAAGGAACAGAAAGAGATCAGGGAGACATCACATCCCCTTCTATTTCTCTCCAATAATCAGTTAACCAATTCAGGGCAAATTCGAAGATGCCCATAGGGCCCATGCTCTTGGGCCCTCAGCCGGCCAGGAGGGAGGGGGGTTGCTGGGCCAGGTCTTGCTCCGGAGAGCTCAGCCAGGCCGGGGCCGCAAAATAGACCAGCGCGACTTGCCCTCCTCCCTTCGCGGCCCTTCCCGGTTGCCTCCTTCCGGGGGCTGCGCAGCGCCCTTTGCCCGGCCTTCCCTGCTCAGCCACGGGCTCCCGCGGGCCGCCTCCTCGCCGGTGGGAAGGACCCGGAAGCCGCTACTAAGGGCTCCTCGGCGGGGAGTCCCAGGAGAGCAGCTCTCGCGCCGGTCCGGCTCGAGCCCGGAGGGCGACGCGGGGCTCGGCGGCGCCGGACCGGGTCTGCAGGCGGGCAGGGCGCTCCCGGCGGGCGCCGGCGCGGGGCGCTCCCGGCGGGCGGCGGCGCGGGCGTCCTGCTCCAGGCCCCGCTCGGGGGACGGGCGGAAGCGGCTCCTCAGCACCCGGCGGATCTCCTCCGGCGTGACGCCGAAGCCTTGCGCCAGGCGGGCGGCCGGCCACTCCTCGGGGAAGGCGCGCCGGAGGTACCTGTGGAGGGGAGGGGAGGGGAGATGAGGGCGGCCAGGCGGAGGCGCGGCCTGGACGGGGCGAGCGGGACTCCCGCGCGGCTCTCCTTACCGGATCTGCTCCATCGCCCGGACGGTCAAGGTGCGCTCGGGCGGCTCCGGCGGCCCCATCAGCTTCCGCATCCGCCGCTCGCGGGTCTGCCGGGCCCGACACTGCAGCCTCCTGCGGGCGAGGAGCGAGTCAGGCCAGCCAGGCGGGCCGGGGCGGCCGGCGGGGGCGAGGGGCGCGCGCTTACCTCTCCAGCTCCCGCAGCTGCTCGTCCGGCGCCGGGACTGCCCCGTCGGCGCGCGTGGCCGCCAGCCCGGCCAGCAGCTTCCGCGGGTCCGGCAGCCGCGGGGGCTTCATGGCCGGAAGGCGGCCCCGAGCTCGGCTTGGCCTCCCTGCGCCCCTCCGGATGAGCCCCCGGCCCGCTGCTCCTGTCCCGCCGCGCCTGCGCCTGGCTCGCTCCCGCCGCCCCTCCCGGAAGGAGCTTCCGCGGACGGGGTCAGAGGGCAGGAGAGCGCGCGTCGCTTGCCGCTACGACGCTCGGCTCCGTGGTCACGTGACGGTCACAAAGGGTGATCACATGACACCCCACCCTTCAAATGTAAATACTAGTTGCCAAGCGCCTGAATGTTGATCACGTGACCACGGAGATGCTGCAACAGAAGCAAGTGTGAAAAATGATCATAAGTCACTTTTTTCAGTGTTGTAATTTTGAACGGTCAGTAAATGAATTGTTGTAAGTCGAGGGCTACCTGTACATTCTAGGACAATATTTTAATAAAATTTCTTCAAACTTGTTGCTGTCCTGGCAACGCCCTTGGTGTTCTAGTCCTTTGGTATCTGTCCTGAAAATCCTACATTAGCACTAAGGCACAAATGAGCGGCAACAGTCCCCTAACGAACCGCGTAAGATCTGGGAGCTCTCTTTTTTTGCAAGATGTCTACAAGCTACCAACGTGGAAAGCTTTGAAAGACTAGTTAAATCATGGAGTATGAAGCCAACACGTGCGAAAAACAAGAGGCTGTATGGGTGCAAAGGTACGTGTAAATATAATAAAAAGAATAATAAAACTGCTGCCCTTATCAAGCTCTGGAAGACTAAACAGGCTTGATCCAGCCTCAGGATCCCCACAAAAACGACAGGATGCAGCTTGTAAGTGAAAGGACAGACAAACCCTGGTGGATAGAACTGTATAAAACTTTAATATAAAGTTGGCTACAAAAGAAACCTCTTCCCAGCCCACAGGGCTTTTCAAGAATTGTCCCAAGGCTTGGGCAGGCTAACTGGCATCTGCAGCGGGAACCTGGCTTGCAGAGAGAGCAGGGGAGGGGTGCAGCCCAAATGCACAGAACCGTTCTCAGAACTTGCTGTTAGCTGGAGGGGAAACACGGCTCTGCAGAGGTGGAGGTTTTGGGGAGAATGGCTGAAAGAGATGGAGGTCTCTGGATGTACCAGGGCAGAGATCTGTTCTCTGCTGCTGCCCCCCCCCCAGCTCAAGGCTCAATAATTGGCACCCACCCAGTCCCAGCTCTGGGCTCCAAGGATCCGCTGAGTTTTGGGGTCAGGTCCCCTTCTTGAAGGAAGAAGAAGCCAGCTGGCTAGGAGTTGCAGGCTTGGCCCCAACTCAGGGTGAGGGAAGAGGTGAGGGGGCTGCTACCTGGCTTGGCTGGGATGCAGAGCGGCCACCGTGGTGGAACGATGGGGACTCCCACGCCGTATGAGGGGGGCCGAAGCTGAATTGATGGCCAGTCCATGCAGGTCAGCACGGTTGAGCGGAGCTGCAACAGATGGGAAGGGGAAGCTGCTGTATATCGTGCCTGTGACGTTTCCATGGTGGGACAGGCAGTTCAGGGAGCTGGGGCTCATGTTCAGGGGTCTCTTGCTGGAAGGAAATCTGTCTGGAAAAGGAAACGGGCAGCTGGAGGTCTTGGGCAGAAGCAGGCAGGAAATCTGCAATTCCATAAATGGACCCTAGTCTCTGCTGCACCCCGAGATCCACAGCAACTCCAAATCCAGAACCTCCTTTTTGCCCCTTTTCTGTGGCCAAAATGGTTGCCGGGTGGGTCTCGGGGCAAAATGACCTTGTAGCCAGGACTGACTGTAGGAAGGGGCACAGCCTCTTTCCCAGCCCCCACCCCACCCCACCCCACTGCGTTAGCTGCATTAGGATTGACTAGTCCAGATCTAAACTCCAGACGCAGCACGGTTTCCTCCTCACAGGGCAGACGGGGGCGAGGAAGCTGCCCAGGCTAGGAGGGTGCCCAGATGAGTCTCTTGGCCTGGCCCGTTGCCACTTTCTGGGGCCCTCGTGTTCTCCTGAGCCCTAGAACCTTGCCAGACAGGGAAAGCCCCTGCAGGGGTCCCCAGATCCCAGCCAGACACTCACTGCCTTCTGCTTTATTCTTGGCACTGGCAAAGCGCCGCCCTCCTGCTTTCAGCATCCGTGCCAGAGTGCCTGGTTCGCCCACCATGGTGGTGCCCAGCCAGCCAAAGTTCCTATGTGGCTGGAAGTGGAGTTGTGGCTCGCGAGGGGGGCCGAGGCCCGAGAGGGCCCCCAGGATAGTTGGGATGAAGCCTTGGTTTCCCAGCAGCTGGACGCGTGCCGTGGGTTGCTGCTGCAGGATCTGGCGGCCAAGCTCCTGGGCCGAGCCCCTTAGGAGGGATAGGGGGACGAGGGTCATCAGGTCCTGGGTGTTGTGATTGTTGAACACGTCTTGGAGAAAGTGGGGCTGGAGGACAAAAAGATCAGGTTGAAGTTTGGGGAAAACTACCTTCCTGCACCATCCACCGGTACCCAAACTCTGAAAGGTGCAGATTTTCCGCAAAGTCTCGCCCTGCCCTGCAGGAGGAAGGTTGTTTAATGCCTCCGATTGGGAAATGAGAGCCAATTGGGTGTCGTGCATAAGGCACCAGGTGAGGAGTCAACTGGGTGACCTCGGGTCAGTCCCTCTCTTTCAGCCTGAGGAAGGAGACAATAACAAACCACTTCTGAAAAGCCTTGCCAGGAAAATTGCAGGGACTACTCCAGGAAGTTGCCAGGAGACCAGCGCTGACTCAAAGGCACACAAACAAATCAGAAAATTATTAACGACATATTTGGGCCCTTCCAAATTAGGCAATAGATTGTTATATTCTCTGGAGTGGCAGAGACAAGTCCCAGGCCAGTCATTAGATCACATCAATCAAAGCAAAACCTCCACGGGATTCTGCTTTGGTGTTTTGAGCTCTTTCAGGCACCAGGCTTTAAGATGGTCGCAAACACACCCTGGTAGAGAAGAGAAGGAATAGAATCGGGGGCCAGAAACAGAGGCCGATGGAGGGAGGGAGGGAGACAACCCACAGCTCCATCAAACACCTCACAGGTTGTCACCCTGAAGACTATTCTAAAAAACTAAACGTGGAATAATCCATTCAGGTTAATGGGGACAGACTCTGATTGAAAGTTAGAAAAAACTACTGACAATAAAAACAGGCTGAAAGTGGAAGCAGACGGTTCCCATTCATCGGATGGGAAGACTTTATTCCGAATTTCTGCCCTGAGCTGGGGTTGCAGATGCCTAATGATCCTGCCCAGCTACCGGCTGCCTCGAGTTTTCCCCCTGGACCACGTTGGTGCCCAGCCCTTCCCCGGGATGGCAGGCCTGTGCAGAGGGTCACCTGGCATTCAGAGACGTTGATGTGGGGCCTCTGGACTTCCACAGGCTTGGGCTCAGTGCTGTGCAGCAGGCGGGTCAGCTGGTCAACAATGCCAAGCCCCCGGATGAGGTTTTCTCGCCGCAGGAGGGCCTTGACTCTCTCCACTTCCTCCTCCTCCACTATGGCTTGGGGAGTCATGCTGTCATACTGCAAGGAGGCCATCTAGGAAGCAGAACGGCAGCTTGTTAATTTGAAAATTCACATATGCCCACATACACTAACTTTCAAACACTCCCCAGAAAGCAAAACCAGAGCCTTTGATTTGCTAAGATTAGAACTGATGCTGGCGGGCTCCGGCCCCCGTTTGCTTGCCTTGTGCTGGGCCTCACTTTAGCCAGCTGCTCTGCAGCTCCAAGCCTGAAGGGTTCTTGCTGATTCCTGAGCACATCAGGCCCCACTGAGGCTGCTGCCCATCACGCAAGGGCAGCCAGTGAGCCAGCCAGGAGAGGGAAGGGGCAATACACTATCCTCAAAATCAGATCTCAGCCCCCCGGCGGCTTCTTTTGAAGGCAAAAACAATTGAGATCAGTTTCTATTTCTCCCAAGTTCATGCAGCACTGTGTGGAACTCCGTCTGGGTTTCATTTGGGCAAAAATCAATGTATTTGCTGTGCAGAAGCTAAGGGGGCGTCCCACCCCCACCCTGCTAGAGGTCCTCCTCCACCTAGAGAGATCCTTGCAGGGCACCTTGGGGTTCCAGGTCTTGCTGTGGCTGTACGCCATTCGGGTGAGGGCCACCTTGCCCTTGCTCTTCTCCTGAGACTTCTCTCCAGCCGACTCCCCCTGCAAGCTCTCCTTCACTTCCCGTTTCTTCCTCCCAGCTGTGTTCTCCCTCTGCTCCTGCTTCTGACGGATCTCCTCCAGCTGCTGCCTGGTGCAGAAAGGGCCACCCAGTCAACAGTCACACAGGCCGGTCTCACACTTCCATGGGTCCCTTAGGACCCGAAAGCCCCATTTCTACCCCTCCCAGCCGGGTACCTGGCACACTCTTCTCTGGCCTTGGAGGCCACCGTCTCTTGGAAGAGGGATCCACTGTGCTTGAAAAAGGGGCTGTACTTTTCAGTGCCACGTGAGGGGAAGATGCGCCGGTAGTGGCCCAGGTGGCTGTTCTCGTACTTCTCTGCTTGGGCCAGCCAGGCGGCCTGGCTGCTCTCCATCTGTTCACGCCTGAGAAATAGCAAAGGGCTGGCCTTAAACCACAGATCCGCTGTGCCCCAAGGAGCCTTCCTACCCTGGGCCTCACACACACACAGACACACCCATAGACACACAGCAGCAGCAGCCTATCGTTCGGATTCTCTACTGGACAGGGGGTGCCGAGTGCTCTCTGGGGAGGGAGGGGCTCACAGAGCTACCTGGCCTCCCGGGGCTGCTGGTGGGGCTGCAGGAGGCGCTCCTTCACCCGCCTCTTGTCTTCTTCCAGCACCTTCTTCTTGTCACAGGCCCGCAGGTTGATGAGATTGATTGCATCGCAGAGTAAGGCATCCTTCACTTCCCGGTCCAGACGGGAGTCCGTGGTGAAGCTGGGGGAATGGTTGACCTGAAAGAGGGATCAAAGACCCCCCCAAGACAGCACTCGTGTTCATTTTGATCTGAGGAACCCTGGAAATCACAAAATCTCTTTGATATCTATTCTTTTTTTATTTCCTAAAAAACCCAGCTTGTAACGCTGTACGTAGGACCTAGGTTAGGAGAGACTACCACTACGAATAAAAGATGAGTATCCCTTCAGGCAGAGGAAATGGTTCCTTTGGGTCTCAAAGAGAAGCGCTCAGAAAGTTCTCTGCCCAAGGGGTGATGGGAAGGCCTTGACACCTGCAGTCAGCCAGGGCTGGCAACAGGAAC